GAACCCGGCGCGAGGTGACGTGGTAAAACTGCCAACCAGGCGCGTCGGGAACAAAGCCAAGAAAGACACAGGGAACAGCGCGACGCGAGAGCTTGTCCGCGGACGTGTCGCGGACAAAAGCTCGAGATCCCCAGACCCGGAAACGCGACGCATCGCCAACCTCTCCCGTCCACCGTAGAGTCGGGGAAGTCTCCGGCAAGGAGACACGGGGCCAGAGGTTGAGCTGATGCGCTGCGTACCGGACCGCAAACGGCCACAGAAAGTGGGGAGCAGCCGCATGGGTCAGGGAGGTACGAGCGACCTCCATGACCAAGCCAATGCGGCGCTCAGCGACCCCATTCTGCTGTGGAGAGGCCGGAAGCGTGAACGACTGCTCAATGCCGTGCTCAGCACAGTAGGCTGCCAAGAGGTCGGAGGCGAACTCACCACCCCTGTCAGAGTGCAAGCGCAGGACAGGAAAGTCCGAGTGAAAGCGCTTGGCTAGCTGGAGACGGGCTCGGCTGATCCAGGGGATCAAAACACCAGGGACGTCACCCTTGGCGCGCAAGGGGAAGACCGTGGTGTAGCGCGAGTAGTCGTCAACAACTATCAGGAAGTACCTCTCCTGACCCTGACCACGGACGCGGGCTGGGCCCCACACGTCCATGTGGAGCGTCTGCAAGGGAGCAGTCGTCGGGGGAAAGGAGGAGGAGTGAGGAGCGGCGCGCTGCCGCCCCTCGACACAGGGAATGCAGTCAGGAGCAGGGGAGTCGGGAAGGGGAGGGAGCACCCTGGGAAGACCAGCAACAAGGTCCCGTTTGTGCATGGCCCGAAGGCGCTGCACAGACGGGTGACCAAGGCGGTGGTGCCAGAGGACAGTCTCATGCGCCAGAGAGCGACATGAGCAGGGGGCGGACAGCTGACCTGACGCAGACGCAGACGCAGCCACCTGAGGGGACTCAGTGGTCAGTGTGTACAGGTCCGACCCCGGCTCCCGAGTGAAAGTAGCCAGGTGGCGGCCCGTCCGAGCACACGTGCAATGTGTCACACGCTCGTAGGCAGGGGTGAACTGGTGAACACCCCCGTCCTGCAGAGCACAGCCCGCCACCAAGTTCGTAGAGAACGAGGGGAGGTAGAGACCTGAGAGCGTGCCGGACGGAACCGCTGGACACGGAAGTGTAGTGGAGGAGGTCGCAATGACCGGACCCCCTGAGGGGTCAGCAAGAGAGACAGCAACTGGCCGAGCGAGTGGCTCAAGGACAGTGCGGTCACGAAAGAAAGAGCGAGAAGCACCTGAGTCCAGTGTGAAGGTGTGCAGTGCTGCAGTCGACTCAGTACCAGGGGGCACAGACGCACTAGCACCTAGGGCAGCAGCCTCACCATCACCTGGGGTAGCAGACACGCGAGCACCTGGAGCGGCAGACGCACTAGCACCTAGAGCAGTAGGCTCACCAGTATCTGGAGTAGCAGACACGCGAGTACCGGGAGTGGTAGCCTCACCTGCTCCGAGGGCAACAGACGTACTGGCACCGAGAGCGGCTGCCTCACTCACAGAGCGACTACCACTACGGCCACCTCGACTGCTCAAACCGGCGTACCACTCACGAGCCTGCTGGAGCAGAAGAGGGCACGGCTGCTGCACCTGTCCACTACCGGAGCCTCCCGAACGACGGACGCCAGAGCGACTACCACTACGGCCACCCCGACTGCTCAAACCGGCGTACCACTCACGAGCCTGCTGGACCAGAAGAGGGCACGGCTGCTGCACCTGTCCACTACCTGAGCCTCCCGAACGACGGACGCCAGAGCGACTACCACTACGGCCACCCCGACTGCTCAAACCGGCGTACCACTCACGAGCCTGCTGGACCAGAAGAGGGCACGGCTGCTGCACCTGTCCACTACCTGAGCCTCCCGAACGACGGACGCCAGAGCGACTACCACTACGGCCACCCCGACTGCTCAAACCGGCGTACCACTCACGAGCCTGCTGGACCAGAAGAGGGCACGGCTGCTGCACCTGTCCACTACCTGAGCCTCCCGAACGACGGACGCCAGAGCGACTACCACTACGGCCACCCCGACTGCTCAAACCGGCGTACCACTCACGAGCCTGCTGGAGCAGAAGAGGGCACGGCTGCTGCACCTGTCCACTACCGGAGCCTCCCGAACGACGGACGCCAGAGCGACTACCACTACGGCCACCCCGACTGCTCAAACCGGCGTACCACTCACGAGCCTGCTGGACCAGAAGAGGGCACGGCTGCTGCACCTGTCCACTACCTGAGCCTCCCGAACGACGGACGCCAGAGCGACTACCACTACGGCCACCCCGACTGCTCAAACCGGCGTACCACTCACGAGCCTGCTGGACCAGAAGAGGGCACGGCTGCTGCACCTGTCCACTACCTGAGCCTCCCGAACGACGGACGCCAGAGCGACTACCACTACGGCCACCCCGACTGCTCAAACCGGCGTACCACTCACGAGCCTGCTGGACCAGAAGAGGGCACGGCTGCTGCACCTGTCCACTACCTGAGCCTCCCGAACGACGGACGCCAGAGCGACTACCACTACGGCCACCCCGACTGCTCAAACCGGCGTACCACTCACGAGCCTGCTGGACCAGAAGAGGGCACGGCTGCTGCACCTGTCCACTACCTGAGCCTCCCGAACGACGGACGCCAGAGCGACTACCACTACGGCCACCCCGACTGCTCAAACCGGCGTACCACTCACGAGCCTGCTGGACCGTAGGAGGGCACGGCTGCTGCACCTGTCCACTACCAGGGGCTCCCGAACGACGCACGTCAGAGCGACTACCACTACGGCCACCTCGATAGCCCCAACTGGCGTACCACTCACGAGCCTGCTGGAGCGTGAGGGACTCACGCGCACGGTCCTGTGGCTGCATCTGGCCACGTCAGGAGCAGCAGGAGTAGCGGGAGTGGGAGTAGAAACGGCAGTAGTAGCAGTAGCAGCGGTAGCAGTGCTGGCAGGGCAATGCTCACCAGTGGTCGGCGTGGCAGGCGCAGTAGGAAGCTCCGCGGCAGCTGCTGCAGAGCTAGACCGGGCTACGGCGGCAGTTGCTCCAGGGGCGGCTGCTGCAGGTGCGGGCGGCTCCAGGGGCGGCTGCTGCAGTGGTGGGCGGCTCCAGTGGTTGCTGACGCAGTGGCGGGCGGCTGCAGGGGCTGCTGCTGCAGTGGCGGCGGCTCCAGGGGCTGCTACTGCAGTGGCGGCTGCTCCAGGGGCGAGAGGCGGATTAGGGTTAGGTGGCGACGGCGCGGGCAGGGCGACGCGGCGGGCAGGTGGCGACGCCGCGGGCAGGGCGACGGATTAGGGTTTGGTGGCGACGGCGCGGGCAGGTCGACGCGGCGGGCAGGTGGCGACGCCGCGGGCAGGTCGACGCGGCGAGGAGGTGGCGACGCCGCGTGCATGTGGCGCGGGCAGGCGACGACTCCGCGGGCAGGTGGCGACGCCGCGACGACGCCGCGGGCAGGCGACGTCTCCGCGGGCAGGCGACGGCGCCGCGGGCAGGGATCGACGTCGCGGGCAGGCGGCTTCGACGCGGGCAGGCGACGACGCCGCGGAGAGGCGGCGACGCTGCGGGCAGAGCGACGCGGCGGCCGGCTAGGGCCTGCAGGGGCGGCGCGCGTGGCCTGACGGGTCTGCAGGGGCGGCTCTCGGGCCTGACGGGCCTGTAGCGGCGGCTCGGGGGCCTGACGGGCCTGCAGCGGCGACTCGGGTGCCTGACGTGCCTGTAGCGGCGGCTCAGGTGCCTGACAGGCCTGCAGCGACGGCTCGGTGGCCTGACGGACCTGCAGGGGCAGCTCGAGGGCGCACGAGGGCGCACGAGGGCGCACGAAGGCGCACAAGGAGAGAAAGGCGCACGAGGGCGCACGTAGGGTAGGGCGCACGAGGGCGCACGTAGGGTAGGGCGCACGAGAGCGCGTAGGCGCAAGAGGCGCACGGTAGGTAGGTAGGTAGGTAGCGGTGGGCCCTAAGAGCGGTCCTAGCGATGGACCTGCTCTGATACCATGTCAGAATAACTGAGCAGGAATGGGATGAACTAGCACAGAGTTTGGTACAAGTAGGAAACCCTAACTTTGAGTACCCCCTAAGGTGTAACCCACTACAGCCTACATAATATAAACATGCAATGTTTGACATGTTTGTCATCAGACGTACGTCCGAGTACGCGAGAACATGCATGGTCCCCGTCCAGGGACGTCGGTCGGCAAAGCAAGCGTCGACCACGTACTGTCCGCGCTTGACGTACGGTAGACGTCGACCTGGTTGCGTTTGCTCACCAGCCATGTTATCTTCCCCCATGCTCACTCGTGCCCTCAGGTTCGCTTGGTTTCGCATTGGGCGGGACGACCAGCGGTTGTGGGTAATCGGAGTCGGCCCGCTTCGATCGGCCATGAAGGCCGCCGACCATTCTTGCTTTGCGACGGTTTTCGACGCCGACATCGCCGCTATCCCATTGCGATCGACGTGAGCTGGTCCCCCGTTGTCCAGTTGTCGTTTCATGTAGTTGGTCGCATCATCGCCTAATGTTGTGGTCGACGTCGTCTTGCATGTGCAGCGGCGACCCGCTTCCAGGGTCACACGAAACCTAATGTTGGCAGCGTCATTGCCATCCTCTACCCAGGAGATCTGCTGAAGGCTGAGGGACAGGTCTGCAGGACCTCGATCCGGCACATCGACCCGCATACCGGGAAACTGAAGCACCGCGACGAGGCCGTCCGCGTGCTGAAGTAAGTTGTGAATAGTCGTCGCTTTCTTGCTTGTTAGTCGCCGACGGAGGGTATCACATGCTGACCTTTTTCTTTTTACTACGATGCTCCAGGCTATTCCGCACGGCTGTCCTGGCCGAGCTGGGGCGTCCCGGTAGGAAGTGGGACGGGGCGCCGCCATCACAAGCAGTGGTCGAGGACAGGCTTGCCGACTGCGACGACCCTATCCGCGACGTGAGTTGCGCGTTAAAGCTCCGCTCTTAACGTTCTGCGCGTATCTGTATGCACCGCTCATATTGTTCCGCGCTTGCCGGTGTTGTATGCAGAAAGTGCCAGGCACAGTGAAGGACGGGCATGTCGGCACCGGCATGCTTGCCGCGACGTCGTTCGGGTGGGTGGCCAAGCAGATCGACCTGCTGACGGGCGACAAGGCTCGAAGTGCGGTGAGCATCGAGAACATCAAGGCAAAGGGTTTGAAGTCGCTCCGTGATAGCATGGTCGAGTACATCTGCAAACGCGTCGCCGAAAAACGATCTACGGCGCCGACTTCAGGAGCCGTTGGAACCGCCGACAGTGCGATTGATGACGACGGCGCCGAAAGTCAGACGGCGCCCCAAGCAGCAGCTGCCGCCCAGCACCAGGTGGACTTGCCGGTGTCCGGAGGAGGCGACGCCGCGGCAGGTGCAAGAGGAGGAGGAGGCGATGCCGCGGCAGGTGCAGGAAGGAAGGTTCAAGATTCGGAGTCGTCGGATTCGGACTCAGAGTCGGAGTCGGAGGGGGAGGAGGAGGACGAGGCGGCGAAAGAGAAGAAGGTCGAGGAGGATCACGAAGAGGAGGAGGAGGAGGACGACGAGGACGAGAACGATGAGGTGGTGGAGGTTGAAGAAGGGAAGGATGAGGCGGAGAACGACGAGGAGGGGGTGGAGGCCGAGGTGCAGTACGAGCTGCAGTACGAAGACGGTACGGTTGTGGCGTTGGGGTCGGCGGATGAAAAGAACGAGGAAGCGGAGGATGGCGATGCGGGTAATGCTACGAGGTCGGCAGAAGATGGGGGGAAGGAGAAGGATGAGGTCGGCACGGAGGCAACGACGGAACAGGGCCAGGAGGAGGCAGCATGCGAAGGTGGGAAGGTGTTGGTCGACGCCGGCGAAGGGGCGAACATCACGGGCATGCAGGAGACGGAGGAAGCATCTGGTCGGCAGGGCCAGGAACAGGTCGACGTCGAGGAACTGCTGCGGGAGAACTTCCTGTTGAGGGCGGAGAACGCTCGGCTGAAGGCGTTGCTCGATGAGGAGTAGGCTCGGCTGGACGGGTTTTTTGGTGGGTTACGTGGACTCGTCGACCACCTGAAGGAGTTGGCCGAACAGAACGACGACACCGACAAGTTTGCGGCACAGCAGCTGCGAAACGCGACGGCGGACATGTCGAAGACCATCAAGGGCAACATCACCGGCAGCTTCGACGAAGCGTGGAAGACGATGAAGACATTCGCGGAACAGGCGTCGGCGTGGTTGGAGGACTTCGACAATCCGGAGGGTCGTGTGGCATGTGCACGCGCTGAAGCTGTCGACGCCTTGGCCGAGCACGTGAATGGGGTGGTGGGCGCTGCGAGGCGGGGTTTGGAGCTGTACATCACGACGCAACTATCCGCCGCGCAGGTCAACATCGCCACCGCTGTGACCTCCAGGCTCCCCGTGCAGCCGCCGCCACCGCCTCAGCCCACGCCGCCCGCCCTCCCGGAAGAGCTCTTGAAGTCGTTCAAGGCCGACATCATGAAGACGGTGACGGAGGCCACCCAGCAGTCGTTCGTTGCTTCCGGGATGAAGATGTTGACCGAGATGATCGGCACGGTGGCGCCTGGTCGACGTGGGTCGTCGCCGTCGGCCAATGACGCAGATCAAGCGCAAAGGAGGGCGGCCGACAAGCAGGGCGAGAAGAGGACGGGCGACGGAGACGACAAGGAGAGCGTGAAGCGGAGCAAGGGATCGGACGGGAGCCGCGGCACGAAGCCTCCTGCTCAGAGCGTGGTCGAACAGCTAAAGTCGAAGGCGGGGTGGAAGGTGATAAGGACGTCGAACAGCAAGGGAAGCGGAAGCGGGAAGGCAAAGGGTGGCCCTGCCGACGGGGTTGCCGCTAACGTCGCTGCACCGCCTGGCCCGCCTTTGGTCGCCGAGCAGACCAAACCGCAGGCGACCTCCGGGAAAGGCGTGACCGACAAGGAGGCCCCTACTGCTCAGGCGGCGAACGACGGCGGCGCCGGAACCACCAAGGGACCGTCCGTCGCGGTGCCGGCCAAGGGCAACGCGAAGGCCGCCTCTGCCAAGTCGATTCCCCGTAAGTCCCCAGCGGCTACCCCCGCGCCGGCCGGCAAGTCAGGCGCCAACAACGATGGGCCGGCCATTGCGGCCCCTCCAGCTCCAGCAGCACCAACTGCCGACAAGGGCGACGCGACGGCTGCTGCGGCTAAGCCCGAAGGTCCGTCACCTGCTAAGGTGCCCGCCGGCAGTAACGCGCTCAGGGAGATGCTCCGCCGCATGGATGCGGATCGCAGGGACGTGCAGCAGCCTCCAGTGGTCGACGCCGCCCTTGCCGAAACAGCACGTCGCTCAGTCACATCGCAGGTTGTCGGCAAATCGACCGGTGCCCCACCTGCCGTGCCTCTAGTCGCCGCCCCACCGCCCGCGGAACCCAAATCCGCGTTTCTTCGCGCCCATTTAGGCGCACGCAAAGTGAGAGCTCGACAAGTGACTCAGCCGGAACCCGGCAAAAGCGCGACGCCGACGTCGGTAAACGCGACTTCACCCACACCAGGTGCAGCTGTGGTCGCTCGACAAGTGACTCAGCCGGAACCCGGCAAAAGCGCGACGCCGACGTCGGTAAACGCGACTTCACCCACACCAGGTGCAGCTGTGGTCGATGCTGCGGCGGAGAAGGGTGTGAGCGCGGCGCTAGCCACCGGCGGCCGAGCCGACAGGCATGCCAACCTCGCTGCCGTTCTGGCTCAATTTGAAGCAGCAAAACGCCCCGAGCATGCCCCAGCACTGGCCATCATGGACACGGCACATGCGGAGCCGTCGGGGACCCACGGTGGGGGTTCGGCGGAGCCGACGGCTGCAACGGCTGCTGTCGCCGAGGGAAATGCGGGACGGAAGGGTAAGGACGACACCGGGAAAGGGAAGGCGGTCTCGCAGAGGAGCACGCGGGCGATGTCGGCGGGGAATGAGATGTCGGAAGAGAAAGGGAAGAAGCTGGCACGGAATCAGGACAAGACGGGCGGCAAACATAAGCCGGCGAAGAGGAAGGCGAAGGCGGAAGAGGAGGAGGAGGAGGAGGAGGAGGAGGAGGGGGAGGAGGAGGAAGGGCATGGACGCCGCGGTCATGGCATCCGCCGAGACAGGTCTGGCGACGGGCTTGGGTGGGTGGGAGAGATCAAGATTAAGGGCCAGAATCGGTACATCGGCAAGTCGCGCGATAAGATGGATCCGGCCTACGAGCACGCGATTGCGTACTTGCTCTACGACGGCTACGTGAGCAAGGTGCTGACGAAGGAGCTCACCGTCTTGAAGCCGGGGCAGTTGGATGAATGGAAGGCGGTATGGGAGGAGCTCAGGTTCCTGTCGACCGGGATGTGGACGGTGATGTGGGCCAGAGGCTTGTGCCATCCGAGAGCAAGGTAAGTCGGTTACCGACGTGCCGAGTTCTGTCGACCAAGTCGGTGTCAAGATCGCTGATGTCGACCAAGTCGTGCTGTTTTAATGTTTTTGCGCGGCAGGTTCGACGATATACTCGGCAGGTACCGTGGGTACGCGAGCTCGGGTGATGCGCTTCATGACGTGCTCTGGCCGGCGATATGGTTCCCCATCATCGAAGACACGGAGGCAGGCAAGGCGGAGACAACCGCTCTCTTGTCGGCGATGGTAAATCGCGTGTCGATGTGCGCGGCGTATGGGAAGGTTGCGGCGAGCGTGGCGTTTGGGAAGGTCGACGCGAGCGCGGAGGGGAAGGCGGGTGAGAAGGCGGAGATGGAAGGCGCGGAGGGTAAGGCGGACGAGAAGACGGAGATGGGGGCCCAGGCGTTAGCGGCATCTGCATGCGCCCTCTGGTGCTACATGTCGACGGGTGCGTCGGTGCTCGGTGCTGTGGGCGAAGGGAAGGCGGCCGCGATGGTGGCAGGTGCAGGGGAGGAGAGGGCCGAGCGCTTCAAGAAGGTCATGCACTTGGTTTTCGACTTTGCAAAAAGTCGGAAGGCTCCCGCGGGGGAGGTTGCACATAACGTCGCGCCAGAGCTGCAGCGCTATGGAGTGGCCAGGGCCTTCGAGGCGGGAATTGAGGAAGTCGAGGCCGACATGATCGCAAGAGCGACGGTCGAGACCTTGGCGTTCTGGGGAATGTGCCCCGTCGCCGGGCCCAAGCTCAAAGCGGAGGGCATCGATGTGCCGTGTGACGCGAAGATGGAGTACGATCTGGAGCACAGGGGGAGGAAGGGTGAGAAGGTCAAGCAGGGCAAGGGCAGCAAGAGGAAGAAGACGAAGGCGGAGAAGCAGGCGAAGGACAGTACGGATGCGTAGTCGGCGGACGGATGTGTCCTAGGTTGCTAGGGTGTGTACTATGTCGGTATGGCCGGCGCCGATTTCGGCGCAGATTTGATAAATGTTTTCTTTCGTAACAAGAATCGTATTTGCTACAGTTCTGTTTGCTTCACTTTGGGTTGAACAAATCGGTGTCCACATAGAAACATGCTGACCGAATATCACCTGATGGGCCATGTCGGCGCATATGTCGACATGATATGCACATGCTAGTCGGCGAGGACCGTTGACATGATAGAAACATGGTTCTCGGCGGTGAACTTTGTCGCCAAAAGGTCGACATCGAGTTGTGCGACACCTATCGTACTAGTCGTCAGCGACAACATACACCGACAAGTAGGGTTCGCAAGGATCTCGATGTGGGTTGTTTACATACGGTGTGTACTATGTCGGTATGGCTGGCGCCGATTTCGGCGCAGATTTGATAAATGTTTTCTTTCGTAACAAGAATCGTATTTGCTACAGTTCTGTTTGCTTCACTTTGGGTTGAACAAATCGGTGTCCACATAGAAACATGCTGACCGAATATCACCTGATGGGCCATGTCGGCGCATATGTCGACATGATATGCACATGCTAGTCGGCGAGGACCGTTGACATGATAGAAACATGGTTCTCGGCGGTGAACTCTGTCGGCAAAAGGTCGACATCGAGTTTTGCGACACCTATCGTACTGGTCGTCAGCGACAACATACACCGACAACTAGGGTTCGCAAGGATCTCGATGTGGGTTGTTTACAAACTACCAGAAACAGTATTCGAAGGGGAAGGGGGTCTTTGTGAGTCTGCCAAAATCAACAGCATCAAACTAGGCAGACACATATCCTAGGAGGCTGACTTCTTGCGCTTGGTCGGAGGACGCTGCACGGGTGCGGTCGGCTTGGCCGGTGCTGTCGACTTGGCCGGTGCGGTCGGCTTCGCCAGGTCGGCCTTGGTCTTCGGCATCTGCTCCTCCCAGGTGTCTGGAAACAGACCGATGAGCCAATCTCTCGACTTCAGGTTGATCGCCACAAGCGCACAGGCGAGGCGAAGCTTCGAGACCACCTTGGGGCCCAGCCCCTTGACTCCTATGCTAGGCTCTTTGGACAACATCGGTGCCGTTTTCGGGTTGAGCACCGTGACGGCGTCGCAGAAGGTCCCAATGCCCGGTGCCGCGATCCTGTTCAGTGCGTCGACCACGGCCTCGGTGTCGGCGTCGCCGTCGCTCGCGCGTAGCTGGCGCACCGCATCCATGGCCTTCATCATGCGGCGCACCTTCATGTCGAGCCCACCCTGCGTCGCGCCCTTTCCTGTGAGGAGGGTGTGGCGGGCGACGAATCCCTTCTCGGCGACCCTGTCGCAAAGGCGACGGGTGTCATTGGCGGTGGCGGAGTTCCATAGGCGCCAAGCGTCCCTCACAGTCTTTGCCTCCCGCCACGGTTGCACCACGTTGAGCTCGTAACTAGCCTCCTCGTCCGTCTGTGGGGGTGGCGGGGGTTTGTCATCCCCTCTCTTAGCTCCAGCCCCCGTGCTGGCCGAATCCGCCGAGCCACCCTCGCTGGGAGCTTGCACGGGCGCCGACGGCGGGGCCTCAGGCACTCTCCGTGCTTCCGACAAGCTGAGTGCCTCGGTGAGACGGGCTACCTCGGCGGTGAGTCCCGCGATGGTGTTGTCGCGCTTCTCGATCTCCTCCTGGAGATCAATCTTCTCGTTCGCGGCGCGCTCCCTTTCCGACTGCAGCTGGGCCTTGAGGGACATGTTGTAGTACTCGGTGTCCATGCGGACCGAGATTTCCTGCAGCGGTAGGAGAAAGACGTTAGGGCCGCGGTGGTTTGGTTAACACTACATACTGCCCGTCGGCGACAGAATGGTCGACTTACCTCTGGCTGAATTTGGGTCGGGTCGCGACGCTTTTTGATCGTCTCGGTGTCGACGCTCTCCACCCGTTTCGCCCAGTGCTGGAAGAGGGGGATCCGGCAGAGCTTGGACGTACGGGTGCCATGGTGTGCGGACCAGCTTCACAGCTAGGTCCTCGGCGACGATGCGGCGCAGCATCTGGAGTGTGCGCCAGAAGTGCACCGCGGCTTTGTCGGCGTCGGACCCCTCGACAGCCTTCCCTTCTGCCTGCAATTCGTCACGAGTATTAGGTGTTCAGACACGGTCGGCAAGACGACTCGAAGACAGGGCTACGAGGGCGTCGACTAACTTACCGTCTTCAGCATGTCGTCGACGCCGGGGAATATGTGCTCGGCGAGGAGCTTCAGGAGCTTGTCGGTGGGTTCCACCCTGCTCCGCCCCAAGAAGTAGTCCTGCTTGTAACCAGAGTACCCGGCCTTCTTCATCACCACCCCCACCGGAATGGCGGTGATGTACGCCCGCGTCATCTTGTCGAGCGCCCAGTGACCCAGCTCCGCGATCTCGGCGCGCGGCGTGCCGTCGATGGCCAGCTCCTGGGCCCCTCCCGCTCGAGCGGCGTGCACGTTCCTCTTGCAGAACACTTTGTTGGTGTCCCACAACTGCCGCGTCCAGCGTTGGTGGCTTGCCGCAGAGAGCTCCCCTTGGTCGGTGTCGTTTTTGGCGAAGAAAAGGTGCTTCTTGTACCAGCTCGCGCGTGTGCTGGTGTCGACCGGCGGAATGAGGCGGACGCCGTGAAACTGGCCGATCTGGTCGAGGACGAAGTGCAGCCACAGGCCCGTCTCGCCGACGGCGCACAACTCCGCTTCGAGGTGCCGCGCCGCGTAGCTCTGCTGCAAACGAGCATCCTTGGACGTCTTCGAGTTCCGCGCAGCGATGACCATTATGACCGGCTGGTTCTCCGGGTTCACCGACGAGGTGCTCGCCAGTCGGTACAAGAAGATGTCGGGGAGCGTGATCTCGCGGATGCTTGCACCGCGCAGGAGGCTGTGGTGGGAGAGAAGCGTGAGCACCTTGATGAGCAGAAACCTCCACAGTGTCTGCGAAGGACCCGTTCCACGCGGGTTCCACGCCTTCGCCGCCCACGTCGGCAGCACCCTCATCATGATTTGCCGAAAATGTTCGGCGGTGTAGGTATCGCCGAGGGTTCCTCGACGCCGATCGGCGCAATTCCTGCCCACAAAGCCAAGGGTAAGGGTCATTCCGGGCGGCGTCGACATCATAGTGTGGACGACATAGATTGAACTTGCACTTACTTGATGTCCCGCTCGTTCTTGGTGCGGATCATGAACCGCACCTCCGACCTGACCACCGATATCTCCCGCATGATGCTCAGCTCCGTCTCCCGGTAGAGCGTCGCCTCCACTCTCGCCGCCATCTGGCATGCCTTTATGCGCCCGAGGAGCGTGTGCACCATTGTGGAGTGCACAGGCTGGGCTCGCGCGGCGTTGTCCCCCTCCTCGGTGGACTCGGCATCGAGCTTACACTCACGCACCATGTACTTCACGTACGCGCGAAGCCGGGTGATGGTAACCCTTGGGCCGTGCAGCCACACGTACGCCCGGGGGACATCGGCCTCCTGGTCCCAATTCTTCTTCTTGTTGTCCCGGATGTAGTGGCCTATCTCGTCGACGTGCTTAAGCCTGTGCTCCTGGGGAAGTTTGCCGCCTATCTGCCTCAACATCTTCGCCGCCCACCTCTTGTAGTGGTATATCCAGGAGGTGTACTGCCTCAGCGTGCTGTTCTTCTCCAGGGTTTGCAGGTGGCGTAGTGCGTCCATGACGAGGACGTCGATGCACGTGTACACCATGTCTTCCTCGACGAAGTCTGCCGCCTTCCACTGTTCGCGCGGCACCGACATGTTCTCCTGGTCCGCGTCCTCGTCCTCTTCGAGCAGTTCATCTATGAATTCAAGCTCCCGCCTGAGTCTTTCGTCCAAGGTGCGCGGATTAGTGCTACGGGGTGGACGCTCGTCGTATTCGTCATCGCTTTCCTCCTCCTCCTCCTCCTCCTCCTCCTCCTCGGCATCAACTTGGTCTCCAGAGCCGGCATGTGCCGACGACGTTCCTGGCTGTCCATTTCGTGCAGGCTGCTGTTTTTTTTTCTTGTTGAACTCCCCGATCGGCGGTGGGGGAATGTCCTTGGTGAACTCTCCTTCCGGAATCTGCGTTAGCTTGTCAAGATCGTAGAGTAACGGGAGCGTCTCTTCGTCGGTAGATGTAGGATTGTGGTCGGTGGGGGGACTAGCGTCGGGCATGTCGACGTCGGCCATGTCGGCCATGATTGCGCTATCGTCGTCCGTGTGCGATGCGGAGGTTGTTAAACCAGAGACGGAACTGTGTCACGGGAGCGAAATAACGGTCTTCTTCGAATTCTCACTCAATCGCGTCTAACTCGGCTTCGACCTCAAGACGTTCCAGCTCCGCTTTGATGTCGTCGTCTACTGAGTCGGCAGGGGGTGGGATGGATTGGGGCTGTTGGGCTCTAGGACGACCTCTGGCCATGCGTCGCCGACTTGCTAGGTCGGTGTCGATGTCGATAGTTTGCGGCGATGTTGCCCTGGCACGTCCGATGTCGACGTCGACAAGTACTGACCTCTCGTTTTCCTAAACACCGACCTGATTGTTAGCGACCACGTACAAGCAACCTGTGCCGACAGGATCGATTAGTCGGCAGCCGACAAGCCTATAATCGCGAAGAAAGACAGGCAGCGGAGAGCATGAAGGAAAGCAGGAACTGACAAGGGAATGAGCACAATCGGAGGGTTTCGAAGGAGTACGGTCCGAGCGTCTCCGAAGCGGCCGCGCTTCACGCAACCCCCCATGCTGCTGCCGCTATGCATGCATTCTCCTGCGGCGGCGCAGTGTCCGACGTGTCACGTGCCAAGCATGGCTCCTGGGACGCTGCGCTGCACCCAAGGGGCGTAAGCCTGGGCCATTCCACGAGGGAATGGGCGTGTGTGACGTGGCGTGGGCCCGACATTGGCGCCCCAGAGCGGAAATAACGGCATGCCGACTACCATCACCCAGGGGCCCTGGATTAATGCGGGGCCGCGTGGCAACCCTACCGCGATCGCCTGGTGATCG